AAGCAGTTTATATTTTTCTGCATTTTCGGTCTGGTTGCCAGAACTGACAGGGGGAGGAAGGAGAGAGGGGAGTGTTAAATGGAGGTAAAATAACATCTACATTCAATCCTATGTTCACCAAGCAATCGAGTGAGGAGCTAATGATAAAAGCAACAAAGCAGAAATTAGAGCAGTAAAATGTAAAGTGACCGCAACATGACAACACTGAGCAGACATGTTTACTTCAATCATTGAGAGGACAGTCAATCATGAAGCAACAAGAAGAAAAGATCCGCAGCTGTTCTCTGTAGAAAATGCCCTGACCATCAAGAAGAACATAGCAATGCTCACTGTTTCACACGGGCAGAATTCCAAGTACAAAATTGTTGATTGTGGTTTGAGGGAAAAACACAGAACCAATAACAAATAAGTACATGGGAATTCACATTTCTTTGTTTTACATATTCACACCATCCCCCCTCCCCGATGTGAGCTATGCTGCTGATGCTTCTAAGGTGAGAAGCAGCAAAAAGGAGTGCAACAACGGCAGATTTGCTTAAGCATGCTGGTGCCCTCTACCCTCTGCCCCTTCCCACAGAGTGAAGGAGAGGGGGGTATTCCTTAGAGGCCCTGCAGAGCCGGAGGCTGGTGCTCAAGCAGCAGTCTCCATCAGTGAGTCACAGGGCAGAGGGCATCCCGGCACACAGGCCTCCCAAAAATACACACAGATCGCAGAGGAAATCAATATCCCTCCAAACGGAGCATTCTCGACTGTGCTGCCGCCATGTACACTGGGGCTCAGCTTCGGCTGCAGTGTGCCGGCGGGGCCTCCTCAGCCCCAGAAATAAACACACAGACCTGGGCCACTGCTGCCTTCATTATCACTGCACGTTTTATCTGCTGGCTCTCTTGCTCGCAAGCCCCGCGGCGGAGCATCTCGTCTCAACATGGAGAAGAGCAAAGGGTGGAAGCTTTTGTGTCTGTTTTGCTGGAGCATTGAGGGTTTGCTGTTATGTGCCGTCAGAATCAACACTCAGCTTGAAGGGTAGATGCTGCAAAAGTGTTGGGAGAGATAAGTACTGGATATTAAACACCTAGCCAACCTGAGGTGATCCACAAAACAGACTGACTAAAAAGTACTCACACTGCCTTTCTTTGTCTTTGGCTCACTTTTAGACACCTTACAAAAGGAAACACAGAAACCCTGCTCAAACCTGGAAAAGAACATTTACAGTGAGGACTTGTTATTTAGTGAAACTGAAGAGTACAGAAACACGACTGTGCCCTCACCTAGCTGTCAGAATCCACTCACTATTAAAGGGTTTTATTAAAAAAAAAATACAGCTCTGACTGTGGACTTTCACCAATAAAAAACGTATGCAGGGATTAAAAGTACCTGGCATTTCTTTTTGCAGTTTAGGGTGGCATTTACACAGCAACAATACGACTAAAGATCCCAGAGCCATATTGCTGATTCAGCCTTACATTTACACAAATCCAGAATTTGGGGTGAAGAACTCATGCTCAGGTCCTAGAGTGCAAAAGTTTGAAAACTCCCGCACAGCGTCTCGGTGTGAGCAGAGAGAGTGAGAGGATATGGTCAGCCCCGCCTCTCTGTAACTCTTCAATGCAGTCACCCCTGCCTCTCTAAAACCGTTTATCCAAGTCGCCCCTGCTCAACGTCATACAATAACAACAATGGCGGATGGCAGAATACTCCTGACAGTGTTAATTCAGCTACTTGGTGTGCTACAGCTATTTATTCCACTTCTGCAGCTCCATCTTGAGCAGCAAAGGTTTATCCAGAACATAATTCTTCCAGTGTTAGTATGCTTGAGTGTGGGCTTTACAAAGCGCAACATAAATGCCTGACATATGTACTACAAGGGCCGGCCAATAGAACAGTACACCTTGCTGACTGTTCCTTAATCAGGTATAAACACAACATTTTCTAATTTAGTCCAATTTATGCAGTGATGACAACACTTCCCACAGGTGGAATTTGGCGGACTAGGGAGATTCAAACATAGCACAGTGGACAAGTTTTCTACCACTGCTCCGCTCTAGCTGCTGGTGTTGTGGCTACAAGTAGTGCCATGTGGGTGGCTTTCAATTTGTTCATTTCTTTTTAATCGTATTGATTTAGTTTTATGACACACATTGGCATTTAAACTCACACTGATTCCATTTCTGTCTCAAGCCTGAACACAGGTTCATTAATTCACCAACGTCTGCTTTGTCGCTTTATTTTAATCATTGACAATGTAAGGATAGTGCCTTAATGAGGTAGTAGATTTGGGAGTACTGCTTAATAAAAGTACTACTACACAGGAATTTGCTTTGTATGGAAGAGTACAGAGATACAACAGGCTAATAGTACTGTTGTTATTTGTCCTGAATGTAGAGGTGAGAACATACAGGCATAGCTGTCTGGTCAGGTTCCCTCTATCAGATTTGAATGTCAAAAGTCTGACTTCATGATTTACTGAGATACCTGTGACTTATGGAATGTGATTTCCATCTGCCTGTTTTCAAGAAGCATTTAAGACCATTACTTCTTTAGTTACAAAGAAAGAAAGAGAGGTGAGAAAATAAATAAATAAAGAGTTGTATAAGATAAAACAAAACTCCACCTTGAAACTGTCATAGTTATAAGAGTTTTCCTTTTCTTTCTTTTAAAACTCCAGCCTCAATTATGTCACATTTTGCCACAACACTCCAGGGCCAAGCAGACCTTAGCAAACCAAATGTTTTAATTTGTATTTTGTCCAGCAGGTTAACTCTGGTACAAAACCCCTGAGCTTTGCTGAAGCTAGTTTAAGGCTGGGTACACGGTGAGTAAAAAAACTTCTCAATTGTGGCCCCATATGAATTCTACTAAAACCTTTAACATCCTAAGTGTCTAGAGAAAAGGAATTCCAGGAGTCTTTCTGTCTGAATAAGTGCAGATCCTGAGAAACAATTTTTATTTTGTAGTGCAAGTGTACATGCCAGAATAAAAATATGTTCTCAAATACAAGATCAAAGACAAAAAAAATCTATGTATAATATGGAAAAAAAATCTAGAAAAATTTAAAGTTGCTTAAAACAATTTTATTGGCATACTCTTCGGGCACTAGACCAAGCCAAGTCCTGGATCATACATGCCCGGGGTCACGAACTCACATGGTCGGTCCAAACCACATTTTAATTTGTCTGGTCACTCAAAAATCAGTCCTGTAAAATTTGATGAGCCAGTCTGAACGAGTGGAATGGAAAACAGGAAGAAAGAAAAGAAACAAAAGTGACTTAAAGGCTCAGTGCCTTTAACTCATCCTTTGAGTATATTTCACATTCAATTCCAAACTCTTTTTTTACTGTGTTGTTGAAGTTGCTCTCTGTTAAATAGATCAACCTCCTGACTTTTGTTGTTTTAAAAAAAACGGATTCTTGATAGGTTTACAATGTGCTCATTGTAAAATTGGAAGCTAGCTCGACTATGAGAATTTTTGGTTGTAACTCGGAGGATGCTTCACCTTCATATCTTAGAGAATAGGCTTCTTCAGTTTGTTTTCCAATGAAAACCATCCAGTTTGTGAGGTTCCACAGAAAATATAAATCAACTCATCCAAATATGTACATTTCCAGATGCTTTGCTGTTCCTGAGATCGTACACTACCATTTTACAATGGAAAAAAAATTCACTCTCCCCATTTTTTCTTTTTTAAACATACGGAATTCTCTATCTTTTTGTGGATTGTTGTGGAACAGGTAACAAAATCACTCTAGTTCAACAGAATCCAAAAAAGAAATAAGGTATTTGAAGGCAACAAACATGAAAAGTCCAGAACACCTAACAGTAGGGCAATAAGAAACCCACAAAAAACACACCGATGTCAATTGATATATGCTTTGGTCTGCTCTCCTGTATTGTTTTTCCTTCTTCAGAAGTCTATATTTCACAGTGCAAGTGCCTGGAGGACAAACACATACAATGTCGCTATGATTCACATTTTATATACACCTGTAGCAATGATTCTAATCAAAAACAGAAATATAGCCAGAAAATACACCAAAGAAACCTGGAAGCCAGAGAACTTAGACAACTTAACAGAGTAATAAAGCAGAGATACACCGTATCTTTTATACTCCAGACCACAATGCAAACATATGTGATAAAAGAATAGTGATGCTCCTTTCATACCCGGCATGGAAACATGTGCAGGTATACACGACATTTCCATTGATGAACAAATAGATTTACGTTTGTCAGACCATCAAGGGACAAATAACCTTCTGATGCCACATTGTCTCCCTTCATTGTTAGATTTGAACTAAAAGTTTGTTTCAACAAGGATCCAAAACATTCTTCTGTGAATTTTATAGATGGGCATAATTTTCCCCTAAGACCATTTCCATTGTACAAATTATTTTAGTCTCATGTGAGTCACAAACGCATCATGTTTTACAGCTGATGCACTGTAGCCTGAGCTTATAGAGGTTGATTACACAGACGCTTTTCAGACGCAGCAGAAGGAAACACATACGGATAGCTTTAGTTAACATGCTGCACAATACTGACAAATATTTAAGTGTGTTTTTTTAACCAAAAAGTGTATTCAAGTGTATTTAAAAAATGCTGAGGGTATTTAAAAAAAAGACATTTTTTACAAAACATTTTTCTACAACAGCAAGAAATGACAAAAACACATTTTGAAGCAAATTGTAGTATGGGAGACTGACCTTCTCCTGGTTGAAGGAGTCCATCCTTTTCATGGCTGTATCTAACGCAGTCATGGACTCCAGGAAGGCCTGGTCTTGCTCACACAGAGGATTACTCAGCAGGTCTGCAGAGATCTTCACAGCAGCTTTGGACATGGCTGTGAGAAAAGTACACAGAGCGGAGAATACCGTTAAACACATACTTGATACTGCTGTGTGAAAGATCAGTCTCTAAATTACTCAAACACTTACTCTAAAGCCTTTTCATTTAAGTGTAAGCTACATTTCCTTACCCCCATGGAAGCAATCCTATAGTAATGTTTTTTGTGTTTCTTTTAAAAAATGTTTGTGTGTGTTTTCACAGAAGTCAGCCATTAGGGGAAAAAAAGATATGACACAGCACAGTGTTGCCTCTACTGACCCTATATTTTGCCGGATATTCACCAAACCCATCAGTAACAGCACAAATTAATACTAATCTGAAGCCCTGCCCTTTGTTTAGACAGCGACCACACACCAAGTTATGTCATCAATGTCAGAACGCACACCACACAGACATGTGTGAAGGTAGAAGCTGTGGTGAAAATGAGCTTTAAGGAACAATTGAACAATCCCCAGGTCTCTTTTCACAGACTTCTCTTGAGATTCCATGTGGACCAATTTTCAACCAATCAATTACCAAGGTGTGATATTTCTGAATCCACTTTTTTGACAGCTAGCAAATTGCTTAATTCAACCTTTCCTGGTGTGCCTGGGACACACTGGGATGACAAGCATTTGAAAATCCAAAAGACAAAGCAGGAAAATTAACTGTTTATGAGATAAGTCAGCGGAATTAAATCAGACACTATCGGCTTACAGTGATAAATGATGTCTATTGAAGAAAACACTTGTAATGCAGAGAATGTTTAGTGGTGGTTGGTAGAGGCAGGAATAGTGTGATAAAGAGATTCTATTAACTAGGGCAGCTACAACAGCTATCACACTTTGATGACACCCATATTCCAGAATATTCTCTCTCTCTTTCTTTCTCTTTCTCTCTGACCACTTCCTAAACCCATAAAATGATTGTTTTCTTTTTTTTCTTTCACTGATCTAAACAACTTTATTAAAGCCTTAGCAGCATTATTAGAAAAAACACACCAATATAAATTCCCAAACTTGTAAAATGATATGGTTAAAAAAATAAAATTAAATACAATTCTAAAAAAGAATAAGGTGGAGGTAGGTTCACTCTAATTACATTTTACTGTTGTACGGCAGGCAGCAACATACAATCTGATGCCTTTCTTCCCATGAGAAAAAAAAAACCTGACAAGCCACATCAAGAATGTTGGTGAACAATAGCAGATCAATGGCAACCAGGTGGAAGCACACACAGTGCAGAACACACCTAAATCAGCCTCAGTGCTTTTCTTCATGTCCTTGTGAAGCTTCTTCGTCTGATCCTCCAGCCTGTGGGACAAGAAGGAGAAGATAGAGGAAAAGAATAATCATCAGCAAACATTTGGTCTGGTAATAAGGCTTCGGGAATACTGTCAACCGCTGAAAATACTAGAAACAAGCAATGTTAGCGGATATTAGTAGAGTAGGACAGAAGTAGTGAAATGACTCCATGTGATACACTATAAATTCTATCTATCTGATTCATAATTTTTAAAATGAATTAATACGTGTTGACATGAACAAAGAATGTCGGAAACACAAAAAAAAGCACAGAAAAGGAAATTATCGCATAAACCCGTGGTTCAGAGAATTACACATTTCACTGACTCCATACAAAAAGGTTATTATAACATCTGTTGGCTAATTAACAAAAATAGGGAATCATTCTTGTTGCTGTCAACTATGTTTGCGTTCAAAAGTGTTATTGTCTTCAATCACTCTGCAGCACATATTCCATTGATGGGTGTTAAAAATGGCAATTATGGAGGCTGGAACACATGCCATTCATTATATCAATTAAGGCAAATGAGGGGTTTCGAATCTCCCCTGAGACTGCCTTCATATCACTTCTCCAGCTTTCATGAAAAAAGGGGCAATGTGATGGGATTTCATTTCCCTCACTTCAATGAGGGATAATATGAACTCAGTAGATGATAACTGTGTAATTTATACTCCATCCATCAGCTGAACTGATTTCTACCGATTTGAGTGTCACTATTTGATGATGTATCTATGATTAGAACATTACAGTAAACACCTAAAAGTATTATGGCATGTATCTCAGGCAAAATGCTTTTGTTAGTTCACATAAAAATGTATATTATGTACTAAAACAAATTTTATTTTTATTTTCATTTTCTCCATGCTATGGTTTTATATGAGTGTTTTTGAGTCACAAACCAGTCGAAGGTCCAAAAATATGATATGAGTGGAATTAGAAAACTGTATTATTAACACTATCAAAGTCCAACTGCCTAACATCTTAAACTTTCAATAATAGACAAATGCTCAACTTACACAATTGTCCTTATTACTACTGCATTAGCAATATATCCTTTAAATTGAGTATTTTGTTCTTCAACAACTCAAGGTGTGAAGTATAGCTCATTAGCATCCTTGCCTAAAATCAGTTTCATAAGTAGGTTATAGGTTGCAATCCATTTTTTCCCTAGGTCAGGGTTGGCATTGACTTGCTACCACTAGTAGGTTAGTTTAGGTGGTTAAGATCAGTCAATCAGAGACACAGAATGGCAGGTTATTTACCTGTGAATGCCCACATTGCAACACAAACACTAAAAAAACTAAAAGCAAAGCTGCCCTTCTTAATAATAAGGTTTTAAGATAGAAACCCAAGTTTTACAGTAACATAATAAGTTGTACTGCACAAAATGAATTTGTAGACACAAGTGGCCTGCAAGCCACAAGTTTACACCCTTGTAAAATAACATATACTATTAAAATTTGGGATGAGAATAAGTGTAGTACCCCATTGCAGGGAGAACACTTTTGCAGGATAGTGGTGGAAGTAATTATATTATGTGTAAACAAAATAACTTGACCTATAATAAAAGCATTACCTAAATATTTCCAAAACTCTGTTAATGTTTAAATATTAATAAAGAATCACAAACCAACCAATTAGTCAAATAAGCCTTACATTTTACTGTGACAAATGTGTCGATGAGATGCTTCAGCCCTGGCACTGAGACACTGCACCTTACTAATCCGTCAGTACTGTGGTGAGAGTCATTCAAGATAAATAGTAGTGAGTGTAGGGTCCCTTTCCAAAAGGTGCTAATAGAGCAGCATGAAGGAACAGCTGCTGCTCTTTGAGTAAGTGCTCCATTGTTGTGGATATGCTGCCACAATCATATATACACATTTTCGATTACTGCACTTTAGTTGCCTCTACACACACAAGTCCTACTCATGTTAAGGTGCTGTCACCAGACCCTTTGTTAAACAGGAATGAAGTCGGGCATGAAGATGCGTGTTCATAACAGCTGATCACACCTGATTCAGAACCTGGAGTTCACTACATTCGGTCCACATAATTGGCAACTAACGATAATGGCTACTGATGTTAGCATTGTGTGACGTGTTTGGTCAGAGTGAGATTATGACGCAAGTTTTTTCATGTCACTTTCAATGACATGTTAGCCGTATAAAAAATCTTGGCTGGATTCCATCTGGAATGATGGGCGGATGGATGGATGTTGTTTATCGTTTGAATGTCATGTTTTAAACTTTGTTCTTTGTTCTTCTGGCACTGGTGCTACAGTGATTGTGGGTTAGATAAACGTATCTTTACCTACAGCTTACAATATATTTTATATTGAACTATAGGAAAAGAATGACAAAGTCAAAATATATTTTTGCATTTTTAAGAAAAATCTTTATTGAGCAACTTTCTTCAGTTGCTTTATTTGGGAAACAAATAAACAATGTTGTGTTGATATGGAATTTTGGGGTGGAGAATAAAATGTCTGTACATGTTGTCTGCTTTGACTCATCCACTTAATCCTGAGAGGAAAAAAGGTGCTGCTGCTGGTTTTGCAGGGTTCCCAGGTAATTTCTATGATCTCTTTTGAGAGAAGGCCAACATTTTTAAATAGCAAAGGCATAGGTCACAAATCGAATAAACTGTGATCAAACTCAGTGTGGTTGAATATAACCTGAGACAGTTATCTGAGAGATTTGTGCAGCGAGAAATATTTTTATTGTTAAGCAATTTAACACATTATAATTGTGTGAATACAATAATCAATTAATCAATTTTACCCTGCTTTACCTAATGCTTTAAAAGTCTATTTCTGATTGGCTCTGAATTTTGTCCACAACAATGTGATTGTGATTAAAATGACTAGACACAGTAAAAAAAACATTGTAAAAGCTTTAAAAAACCTTAATGTAATCTTAAAAAGTATTAACAACACTGTTTTAATTTATTTTACCCATAAGCAAAAAAATTATGTTATACCTTTTTATAGAGGTGCAATGAGAGCAATGTAGGAACATGTATTCAACTTAATGGATACATTTTTATAAATGCAAACTTACTTTTGGAGTTTGTCATATTCACGCTCAAAGTCCCGTTCAACCTACAAAGACAGGACATAATTAATTTAAAACCCTGTAATTTGGAAATTGTGTGTATATTTTGTGTAATTACAGATGATAAATAGTCATGACGAAAGACACACATACTAAAATCTCTGACCACATAAGTCCAAATCGCCCCTATTTTTAACAGCAAATTCAGTTTCTTAATTTAGAAAGAACTTGTGTTCATTACTGTCATATTATTTGATAAATTGTATCTACTTCACAAAAACTTAATGTACTTTATAGAAGTCCTATTATCAGTAAGTGCTATGATGGGATCACCACCCCCAGGTTTATCCTATACATTCTCAGGAACATGTTGGTGTATTGGTATTAGCTAATAAACTAAGATGGTCTACAGTAGTTAAGTCCAATGTAAAATACAAATCATATCAGGTTGTCAGTGAGAGACAGTAAGTCCCTGTTTGTCTCTCTGTCCATGTCAAGTAACTTGCAGAGGCCTCTGCAGCTTCTTTCTTGTGGTTCTGTGGGCTCCTGGACTTAAACACAGAGGTCAAAACACAGAGGGAGGCAGTTGACACTTTGTCAGTGGCAGCTCATCTGAATGGGCAGCTTGTATCCCACTCTATGGGATTTGCTTAGGATGGGCACAGGAAGCTGGAAACCCAGTCTGACAGTGACTGCTGGGCCACAGGACTATTAGAGTGGAAGTGGTTTTTCTCCAGCAAGTAGCTCACCCACTCACTGTTACTTCAAGGTGGCCACCTCTGCTCTCCTGGTCAGCCCAGACAAACAGATATCTGATTATGTTCTCTTATTTCCTGCTGTGGCAAAGTCACACACTAATCAAGTTATGTCTAACAGTTGGAATAGTTATGGTAAAGAATAATTAAACCTTCACTAAGACCATTTTATTATCTCTCTGTAATTAGTGTCTTTTGTTAAATATGTGTGCATTATATTGTGTTTTTGTTTGAGTGACTTACAGTTTTAGAGACAATCTGCTTCTTCGGCTGTCCAATCTTAAAGGGAATCCTGTAAAGACACAAAGAAGATGGAGCAAAATAAAATATTAAGTAAGCAACAAAAAGGTTAAAATACAAAGCATTCTATGTTTGTTGCTTGTCAAGATGTCAGATCAGAGGCTGATCAGAAATCGAGATCACTGACAGTGATCAGTGACTGTTTTGCACCATGGACCAGATTGATACAAGGTACAAGCGGTACAAGTTTTCCACAGTTCAGTGTGTATATGTGAAGGGAGGTCATGCCACTAACATAACACAATGAAGTGCAACATGTATAATTTAATTATTGCATACATAATGTTAATATAATTTTTTTTACTATATACTTTAGTTTTTGTACTTTTGGTTATTTCTTTTAAGTATAACTTTCTTTTTTGTCGTGGGTTGAATCCTGCTGCTGTATCATCATCATTTTTAAAGAAGCTCTCCAGTGACATTTGTTTTTGTTTTGTTTGTTTTTTTACAAATGTTTGCTTAGTTTGTTTAATGACTAATAAAGTCAAAGTCAATGAAAACATCTAGTAACTACTATAAAGAAATGTCACTAGAAAAGAACAATATACTATTTGTATGTTTCTCTTCATTATATGTATCTGGCTTTACAAATGTTGATACAGTTGATGAATCATTTGTCAAAAACAGTTATTCTGTTAAAGATTTTAAGCAGAAGGCACCTAAGGCAACCCAAATAGCTAGCTCTAATTTTTAAATCAAAGTGATCTCCTTGTCATTGTGACACAGCACACCACTGCACACAACCAAATGTGACCTCTGCTTTTAACCCATCACCAAAGTGAACAGTGGGCAGCTTTAAGCTGCACGGGGAGCAGTGAGTGAGGACGGTGACATGACAGTGCCACTGGTAACACTGGCAGCCGGTGGACTCGAACCTGAAACCTTCTGGACCCAAGTCTACTTCCTTTCATGCCACCCAGAAATGACCCACAGTATATGTTACTGCAGAAGAGACACCATGTATTGCCATACATACAACTCATAGAACAAAGTGAAACAAAAAACAAAAGAAACCCTGCACAATAAAGATGTGCATTTGAACTAGAAAAGGTGGGTAAAAAGGCCAAAGAATTTTAAAAGGATAAACTAAAGTAGTCATCAGCTAAACTGGGTTTGTCATTTTGGTTTTTGTTTGTCTGATGAATTCTGACTTCTCTGAGCAAGATTATTGTCGAGGTAAGCTTTAAGGGTTAGTATAACAACAGCGTCCCATTTTCTTGATTTGTTCAAAATACAAACTTTTCCACACACTTGAAAGAATACTGCAAAGATCACAACCAAAGTTTTGGTAAAGTGGAAAAAGTAACCCTGGCTTCTTAGTTAAAACAATCCTTTATCTCCATTTCAAAACCCTTGTCTGTGCCTTAATAAGTAGCCTGCAAGCATCAGAGTGCCTTAAGAAAACACTGCCTTGCCAATGTGCTTAGATGTAGGGTTGTTACTGATGTGACACTAATGGCTTGAAATCTAAGCTATATGATGGACAGTTGCAGCTGACAGGCAGGGTGAGGCAGCAGCTGCGTCAAAAGAAAGGTGTGTAGAATAATGAGATGGAAAAGAGAGGGTGTGATGTAGAGTCTCGTTGTGCAACTGCTACTGATGTGTGAGAACGATCCCTTTGATGACAACTCAATAACATAACCCAACGTGGTCAAATAACAGTGGGATTAATCCAGAAGGAATTAAAAAAAAAAACCCTCTGGTTTCACTTTTGGCTCAGATGTCAGGATTCTCTTTGATTTGCCTGCTCTGTGCTGATTCTAAGCTTCAGGCAGTATAACATATCAGTGGCCTTTGATTTCAATAAAGATTTGACGACAAACTTATGTCATCCCAGTTTGAACTGATTGCCAATGCCCTAACCCATTTAGTAGGTTTTGGCTCAGAAAAACTGTTTCACCCACTGTGTCATCATTAGGGTGAGCCAACATGGAAAATCACCTAAGATTATTATTTTTTTATCGATTATGACTCACTTCTTTGTGTTGACAGGAGTTATAACGTCATTTTATTCTTATTTTATTCTTCTAAACACAACAAAACATTTAATTGGTTTCATATAAAAAGTTTGACGCCAAAGCTGAAACATAGAGAGTTGGAATAATGTGTTGTCAACACATAATTCAACAATTTTTCAATTTTTCATCCATCAATGCTTTATTTTGATGCATGTCTGAATGCACACAAGTTCAGACAGGTCAGACACATACTAAAAATAAACCACACGCCTCCACATTACTACTTTCTCGAATAACAATTTAATCCCCCTAACTGGAGCATGAGCAGCTAAATCTACTACCACTATTTCTCTTGCTCATGCAGCATTTCTAATTATTCACACTATTTCTCTGCAAATGTAATTCGAGTAAATCATGATAACTCACAAACTGTGTTCTAATTGTTGCAATTAGTAGAACTCTCGATTTTAACCGAAACAAAGTGCAAGGAGAAACTGGGGACAGTCATTCCACATGAGGGACATTAAGGGCTTTTTTGTTAATATTTTTGTGAATATTGTAGTGCTTCTTTGTTGGAAGCTGTGTCACTTAATTTTCCTTGGTATTACACACACAGGTAATCTCTGAGGTTGTGTGAGTGATTTCAATCTTGTTGAAAATGACTAAATAAATAAACCTTAACTAATGGACACCAGCATACCAGTGCGCATGTGTTAAGAAATGGCATTCCTATAATTAAAATGTAGATGAACACAACTTAACTCACTAAAATCTAGAAAAACTAGCATTAAAAAGAAAAAAAACTTATGCAATGCAATTAAAACTAACAGTTGCCATCAAGAGTTTCCCTTGGGATGGCTTTTCAACTTTTTACAATCAAACATGGTGGTTGGGTCAGGAGGAAAAAAAACCAAGCACCACAATAAAAACCTGACAGAAGTATTAATAAGTAATAAACAAATGATATTGATGTTTGATTCTCAAACAGTAAAATGAACGAGTCGTGAACAAATCTTGAACTAATCATTTCATTCGTTTTACAGCAGGTGACGCTTTAGCCCTATTGCGGGCATTGTAAAGAAGCTGCAGTTCTCCGACACTAAATACTGAAGGCAACGTGGTTTGCTTCCGCTGACAAAGTCTACAAAGTATACAAAATGCCATAAGCAATTAAAACCATGTGAAAAGCTAAGAAATAAAAACACACCACAATGTGAAGATGAATGAGAGCAAAAGA